ATAAATGCTTAATTTTATGTTAAATGTTATTACTTACCTGTATTTAAAAACATGTAGGCGTTATTTCTTTGGATAAGCTATGTAAAAGTGTGTAAATGTAGATTTGATATTGATGTGCAAAAGCGGTTAGCATGCTTTCATCTAATATGTACCGAAAAAGTGCATAAAATGATGATATTTATTAATATGCATATCTTTGTCCAATGTCATCAGAGAAGAAAACCCCAGACATTCCGTTTTTGTAATACTTTACTCAATAGTAAAACCAATAACATTCCAAACTGATGTCACAGATGGATGCAATCTAATTAAAATTAGATGTTCCGAATGCTACTGCTTCTCAAACATAACAACATCCTATTTGGGGTCATGTAAGAGTGAATCTTCGATTAGGCAAAGAAAATGGTTCCTCCGAAATCCTGGCTAATAGTTCAGATGGGTTTCTTGTTTTCACCACCCAACCAAAACACCCGAGGCGTTTTGTAGTAAAAAGATATGCATTGCAATAGTTGTGTTATGTATGACGTGTGGGGTATCTTGTATAGTTTGTGCTCTTTCGTTTGCATTATTCACGTTTAGATGCCAGACTGCAGAAGATACATGAAATTTATTCCAAAATTACTTTAATTCAACGTAAGACAGTATCAATAATGATGATATGTAGCCGTGGAATTAATTTGAGAACTGTTTACCGAGGCTTGAATCTACATGGCCAAAGTGTTTGTGTTTACTTGTACATGTATTCATAATTGAAAGGTCGCTCTGATGTGACCCCGAATGGGATGTTAGATGTTTCAGAAGCGGTAGCGGATTTGGAACATTTAGATAAATTTTAATAAGATTGAAATGCATGTTTCAAAATTTAAACATGAGATTTCTTCAGTTTGAAAGACAGGAAGTGCATTTTTAAAAATTCTCTCTGATGGCATCCAATTGTTCTCTGGATAAAAAAAAATTATGTTGATGTTGAAAATTTCATTGTCTTTTATTCTCTATTGAATCTGAAATTAGGTAATTGTAAAGCCTACTATAACAAACAACTAAAAAAATGACAAGTTAAATTATTTAGATTAATGGATTTTGAGTAGTGTAGATCTACAGCTGGCTAGTCAGAGAAAAAAGGATGGCTGAGGAGAGACTTTGTAAATGAATTGATATCAGAGAGATTCAGTTGTGTAGGCTCATCGCGGCAATATAATTAACCTGTCAACGAGGGATGCTTACTTTTTCTAGGCAACGGATCCCACCTCTTGAACTTTCAGGAGTCAGCTTTTCTTCTAAAATCGATCATTCTGTATTTTGATACAGATACTGAATACTTCCTTTAGTAATATTATAAACTTCTACTTCTACGGGAAGACTGGCGAGTAAACAAGATTATCAAGCTTTATGAAATATATTTTATTGACTTTTCAAACAAGTAAATGTTCGAATAAAGTAAATGGTATATGAGAATCATTTGAAAGAAGTCTTGCACAATATAAGGCACAATATCTAGATAAGGACATATAAGGTGTTTTTATCATATACTCTTCATGCAATATTGTTCTCAAATAAAACATGAAAAAGAAAGTTATGTAATCAAGCAATACTAGTATTTAAAAATTCAAATGTACATTAAAAATCAGTGTAACTTAAGAAGTTATCAGTGTCACTTTCTTCAATATGTCGGTTAAACAATATACACTGATTTCTTTTCTATCAATGTGCCTCTAAACACCTGTATTTTAATTTTATTCTTCTCAAACGTTTAAAACAATAATCGACAAATTGGACAAATTCAAATTTTAAAAGTATTTTCACAGCTAATAATACGTTCCCTAGGAATTGATCAAATTTTCAAAACTTATAAATAAGAATTAAGTATATATTTTAAATTTTTGCTAATTGCCAAAATTTTTCATACCTCATTCTTCTGTGAAAATAATATCGGTTGATTTTTAGATGAGGATCACAATGCTGATTAAAATTAATATATATTTCTCCATTTTTTTTTCAAAATTGATTTTACTACTTTAAGTGCTCCATTATTTTTTACAAAACTAATAGTAAGTAATCCCTTATGATCGATTGTTATAAATTATCAAAGACGGAGTAGAGAATTTATCCCTGGGAGCAGAGCTTTTATAATCTGTTTATTAGACAGAGAAGAAAAGAGAAGAAAAACAAACGTTTCATAGTGGAGGTAACCCTATTGTTTCCATAAAACGTTACAAAAAGTGTAAAACTTACAGATGCGTTCGGTGTTTTTATAAAAGCGCTTTTCAGGTATTAACTTAATAAATGGTGTTTCTTAATACTTTGGCAAGGAAAATCAAACTCGATCGAGAGATTTGCTGATGTTTTTGCAGTCTGTAATAACCTCCAACCTGCTGTATAATAAACTTTCAAAAATAAACTAACAGTTGCCAGAAATCGCGATCGCGCGATACACATGTAATAAGGACCAAATTCTCAGTTCTTAAAAGTAAGTGTTGTAAGTATTGTCAATGCTTTGGTAAATATACTAATAAGAATTCGATATAATCGTTATAATAGCCACTCTTCATACACAGCATATACTTCGTTAGTACGAAGTGATATACATGTAGTAGGGCTGGCTTTAGTCAGACTTCACAGCATATTTTCAATCTCTAACCAGGGGGCGTATTACGCCGACAGTATACAAATCATTTGCTGAAGTTACCGTTGTCGATAGGTAGGTCCTTGTGGAAGTTTCCGGTTTTGGTTGCAGAAGGATAAGGTTACGAGCGATAAAGCGATGCCGATATTATAGGTAGCGCCTTATGGAGGTTTCCGGTTGCCGACACATGCCATATAGCGGCTAGCGAAGCTAACCGCTTAAAAATTATCAAACAATGTATGTTATTGACAAACAAGTTCTTGAAACAATGGAACCTTATTACACCTCTGACCGTTCACGGTAGCTCAGTCGGTAGAGCGCTCGCTCCGTGATCGGGAGGTCGCGAGTTCGAATCTCGGCCGCGACTGATCTAAGTCGATAAAAAATTGGTAGCAACTGTTCCTTCGCCATGCGCTCGGCACTTTGAAATGAAAGTTGCGGGTCCTTCGGATGAGACCTTAAAAACCGAGACCCTGTGTCAGCGGCATGCGTTGGCACGATTAAGATCCCTCAGTGCTCAATGGCCCTGAGTGCCGGGTAAAGGTCAAAATTTGAAGCCCTTTACCGGCATACGGTGACGTCTCCATGTGAGTGAAAAATTCTCGAGAGGGACGTTAAACAACATACAATCAATCATATTACACCTCTGATGTCTTAGAAGTCCGTGTCTGCTCTTCTACTTTGTATTGTTTAATAGACTTTTAAGCTTGAATACTGTTCGTTATTTCCATAAATTCCATGTATCAATCTTGCCTGGAAAACCTATTATTTCTTTTGTGAGTCGATTAAAGACAACAGGGAAATGCATGATTAATGCCCATATATAACGGTCATGTCCAGCAGCATTAGGATGCATGGTTATGATACCTTATGGTTTTCTACTGTTCCATCCCATCCAATTGTTGTGTTTCATTATCAACGACCATTGAAACAAGTGTGGGAAATCAGTCTGAGGCATGAATTAAGTCTCGCGAAACTATTCCTATTCTCTTCAACATTGAATATGAACAAATCCTACTCCACGCATTTCTTCCTCCCGAGAGGAGTCCTTTCAGTCGTTTCGAGGAAAGTTGTTGAAATAGGGAAGGGAGTGTTGTTGCAAATTACTTATTTTGTGATTAGTAAAAGTCGTGATGATAGAGGGTTGATTTTCAAATTATTTGATATGAAAACCTAAGTTATATTACATACATGTACGGTCTTCCAACGGTTTTGGGGGTTTCTGGTTACTGATTAAAACCGTTATTTACAGACCAATTTTTGCATAATTTAAAGCCGCTTGGTCCGATTCTAATCGCTAAAAATATGTATTCGTTTTTCTTCTTGAAAAATAATTGTCCATAAATTGTTTCAACTTTTGTCAAATTATATCACCAAAGTCTTCTTCTTTTAAAAGATATCAAAATTCAAAAGTTAAAAAAATAATTTTTGTTTGGTCACACAAAAAATAATCCTATGTTGATCATTGTTGATATTGCGTGAAATCACCTTCGAAAAATTAAATTTATCGCTTACATGTTTATCTAATGAAGAACAAACCCGAGCATTTTTTTTTCACAACAAAGTACATATGTTACCTGTACACGGACAATATTTTAGCTCCTTTAAAAATCTGATTTTCCTTTATTCTTTAAATATGCATATTAATATTAAAATTACTATGGATTATATTCAATTAATTTCTTAATTTTGAAAAGATGTATTATGACTAAGGCTCTAATAATAGTCTAGAGAAAAAAATACTCGGGTTTGAATTATCTTCATTATTAGATATATCCGATAAACTTATTTTTTTCAAAATTGACTTCACAACAGATCTTAACTTCCGTCAGGAACTACTGTTTGTCAATAAGGTTTTTGATCTGCGTTTTCCATGTAAGGATTGTTGTAATAAACAATTAAATCAATCATTATTTATTTTTATATATTATCTATGTAATGACGTACTTTTATTGTGTAAGATAATATGTGCCTGTTTCGGGTTAAGCGGCTTTAAGGAATGAAGCTTATTTCAACTTTTGTTATACGATATAACATAACTCAATTGGGGCAGTTTACGCTTTATAAACTGCGAAGATTTATTCCTTATAATTTAATTTCAATGTAGACAATGATACAATTTTTCCATTTTCTCCGTCGGAAAAATGCTCCAAATATAACATATATTTCATAAGTTAACGTCAAGCGGAGTAATACGTTTTTGACGTAACTCATTGACATAGGCAAGTTATGTTATACAAAATGGATAAAACCGTTTAACCAATCAAATGTCGTGTTACAACTGAAATTAAATTATTTATTTTTATTTAAGAAGTCTTTTGTTGTGACCTTCTGTTTAGATATCTGGGCGTAATAGTTTAATAAAGATAACATGATATCTTTTCAAGGTTTTTTATTCACAATATAAAATCTAGTTGTAAATCAAATGTACTTATAAAAGTCATCCACATAATTTCGATGGTGCTGAGAGCTGGCTTTGTTTTGTCGTTTCAGATATCGATGTTCTGTGAAACATTTACTCCCAGGGGCCCCAGTATCCCCCGTGGTATTTGGGATCAGCTCTAGGGTCTATGTTAGGGTACCGACAGGGTACCGCTGTCTTGTTATACTGGGCTAGTAGTTCCAACATATTCATCACCACGTGTTGCATAGTACTAGAAACATCGTTGTGTTCATTAGGATCTTCTGTGATATTGAACAACCAAATGTTCTTCTCAGCTTCATTCTTTATTTTTGGCATCTCTTGAGATTTCATATGAGGTGGTGGAACCCAACTTCCATTTCCTGAAAATGACACATTGAGATCAAACTATCTCATAAGCAATTACTAGTATGTTGCTTGACATACAACTTTGTATATGTTGTTATCATTAATAAAATGAAAAAAACCTCTTAAATCTATTTAAAATGATCGAAACTAATAAAATAGCACATCTATTCATGACAGTCTGCATTAAAAATAATACTGCATGGTGCAATATCCACAAATGATTCAATTTTGTTTAGGGATGATAATTTTTTAACTTTTAATTGGAATAAAACAATATTCAAAGTAATTCATTTAATGCTACATCATTAGCAGATTTTATATCATAAGTAGTTACTACCATGATTTTGGCTTATGCTGAAAGACATAGTTCATCACAAATCAAAATTACAACTTGCATTTCGTAAAACATTTTGTTGTCGGTTAAGCTTGCAGTATACATGTACCCTTCAAAAAGAATTTAGAATCCTCAATAAGGATTATTATAAAAATTAACATAATCAAAACGTTTCCTTCCAGTTTTTATGGCTTACATTTTCATTAAAATTGTACCATTGTTTCAGTTATTAGATGCTGTAACCTTTTCCACAAGTGTCAATAGGTTACATTTTGAAAGTATAAAAAGGGGGAAACTCTTGCGATTGAAATTGTTGCAAAATCTTATGTTATACCCACCAGGAAAACCCGTGATGAGCTTCCAGTCTCCCATTCGAACAGCCGCCCGTATTCTATTGTCAAATGGGCTTGAAAGCAGCCTTTGGCCCACTGGTGGGTAAAGTGGGTCTATGTTGTGTAATATTGATTTCCTTTGACTGGGCGTTGAACCATCGCTACAAGACATGAATTACACGAATAGCATTTTTCTTCGTATTCTTAAATTTCGATAAATTCGGTATTTTATTGATAGTTTGTACTTTATGGTTCTCCATTGATCTACTCCATCCAATGGTTGTGTTCCATTTAGATTACCGCCGACCATTGACACAAGTGTGGGAAACCAGTCTGAGACGTGGATTAGGTCTCGTGAAACGATTCCTTTCCTCTTCAACATCTGACCATGAACAAACCCTACTCCATGAACACCTCCTTCCCAGAGAGAGTTTTTCCATCCTCTCAGGGGATAGTTATTCCCTCCTGCATGAATTTGTCCCCCATTATCTGTAAAATACAACAAAAAATGTGAAATTTTCATATTATCTAAGAGATTTCATTGACCTGAAAGATAAAACCTTTAAGTAAGTTTTTCTTTTCATTGGTCTCTTCATTTATATTTTAAAGAAATTTGTTATCTCTGCTTACAATTAAGCATGTTCTGCAGATGTGCCCTTCGGTTTCAGAAATAGTTTATATGCTCATACATTTCTTTGCCATTGGAATTCTTTAAAAATTTGAATTTGAATTTTAAAAAGCTGAAGAATTTTTTTATGGGAAAAATAAAGATTTATTTCTTCAACATTAAATTTTCTATTCAATTCCATACAGATTCGACGTTGTTGTATGTTGTAATAATCCCAGTGTTGCAACTGTCCTTATTTTTTTTTTAGACGACTGATCAGGCATAATTAATTAAGACTGTTCATTCCAACGTAGCTGTTACTTCTTCATGACTTACAAGTATACAAAAGGTAGGTTAATTTCCTGTTATTGTTTTGTTCAGAACGTAATTTATATGTTCGAAAAAGTAACCAAAAAATTGTTTTTGTGGAAATCCACTGACGATCTCTAACATTTCATAACATTCTTTTTCACTGTGTGTCCAACTCTGACCAAAGCTTTTTATACAGATTATCCAAGTTTTTTAGAATGTAGATGGTAAAACTTCAATAAAAACTTCTAAAACAGTGCTATATTAACCAACAGTTTACCTGTTGAAAACACCATTAGAGTATTATCCCACATCCCTTTCTGTTTCAGAACCTCCGTAAGGTTTCCTACAGCCTCGTCCATAACAGACACCATACCTAAAAAATTACAATGTTAAGAAAGAAAAATTGAACTTTCTCTCTCTTTCCACCTCTCTCTATTACTGATAAAGTTCGTGTTTTATATTCAAAAGCTTAAATTAATTTTGATTTCAAATATGAAATCTTTCAACATTTAAACAGTAGTTTATTCCTGAACATTGTAATTTTCATTTTATCACTTAACATTAAAATGCAAGTATAAATTTATAATTTCATCCTTTTTTATATAAAGATACAAAACTTATACAATTTTAGGGGAAACAATTCGACAACGCCAGGCATTAGAGAGAGAATGTATCTAATTTGTAAAAGAATTTGGTTTATGCGATCGAAAGAACTGTCTAAACATGTTTAAAAAATTTGTCTGTGAATTTTGTGTAAATTCTCGAAATAATTAAATTGACTTGAATTCAATTGTATTTAACTGTCCTTGATTTTGGTGTATATTATCGTAATAAAAATTGGCTTGAAACATACTTAGTCTATTAATTAATAATAATACTGGTAATTGTTACCGGCATATGTTCTTCTTTGTACGTCCTTTATATGCATGTAGGGCTTTGTGTATTGCTCTGGTACTTGTAGCGGGGCATGTACGGATTGGAATGGGAGATACAGGAAAAGAGGCTGTAAAGTAAAGGGGACTTTTATTGTATTCTAAACACATGACAAGAAATACACGTATAATAACAATATTTGTTAATGGTAAACAAAGGTGTTGATCTAATGAAAGAAAATTCATTTTTCATTACTATTCTATATTATTTGTGAAAATAGCATTTGATAATTCACTTTAATTTCAGAATACCAAACAAATTAATCAATTATTTTTTTAAGTACATGTTAATTGCAAATACAAAATCACTATAATGCTCAAGCTTCATTATGAAACACATACTAAAGACAACTCCGTCATAATCTATATACCTTTTTGTGTAGTCAAATTGAAAAATAATGATTTTTTTCTGTGGTACTCTAATGACATGGAAACTAATAATTTGATTAGATCCGTCTTCGAGGGGCAAGTTGTTTCATAAAATTTGACGTTATTTATACCTCCACAGCTTTTGTGAAAGACTACATATATCAACTGGATAATATAATCAAATAAAAGACATTAGTTAAATTATTTTAAAAGTACCTGATTTGTATTGTGATTTTTGACAACATCGGCTGCTCTGTGAGAAAATAACTGAGCTGAGTACTGTCCGGAATAGCTAGCTGGGTTTGTATTATCGTGTAAATCTGTACCACACATTTTCCCAAAACATCGCTCGTGTGTGAAGTAGTCCTCGGCCCCTGACAGGTACCCTATTATAGTAAATAAAATTGGGACTGAAATGACATTACATTACTTTATTATCTAAGAGTTTAATAGTCTTACACCAAATGTTGCGGTAGTCTATATCCCTGCATGCGCGGATCTAGAGGGAGGGGTCCCCCTGGAATTTGCAAGGTTATTAAATTTATATACTAACGCAAGAAAAAAAGTTACCTTGGACCCCCTTGAAAAGCGCAGCCCCCCCCCCCCATGTAAACGGGAATTTGTGTTAGATTGGTATGAAAAGTCAAAGGTCTGAAGCAGTACAAGTCATCGACTACCCCCCCCCCCCCCACACACACACCACCACCACCACCACCACCACCATCACCACCACGAAATAGGTTTTTAACATTTGGGCGAGTGTAGTTTTTTTTGTTTGTTTGTTTGTTTGTTTTTGTTTTTTGTTTTTTTTGATTGTCAAGAAATTCCTGGGTTGGATTTTTTATTTTGGATTGGGGTGCCTCTCTCTCCCCCCCCCCCCCCCGGAAAACATTTCTGGATCCGCGCCTGTCCGGTTACAAAGAACACGATTTGGTTTTAAAATGATGGCCCTGTAATTTTTTTTCTTTTTTTAATGACATAAGTTTATCAAAATGGTCCTCCTTTATGCCGTTTCCTTTCGTGATTTATTTAATTTGTATACTTCATTCCTGTTCTAGCAAATTTAGAACAATAATACATGTACGTTAATTTTGGGGCATAAAAAGCCAAACCTGTACAAAAATCTTTGTGCAAATTATGTACAGCTCGAATTTTTAAAGACATTCTCAATTTTTTTTCTTTCTATGCAATCAATCAGAAAATGTAGAATTTAGCACCAGAAGCATGGAAAGGAGTGTGCCTTTCTAGATGTATCGTTTAAAAGGTTTGTTTAGTATAGGCCAAACTGGTATTTTTTTTTTTTTTTTTTTTTAGATTTTAACATGGTTCATCTGGAAAATGTAAATGAGGTGCATAAATCAAAAAAAAAAAAAAAAAAAAAAAATCGACAGAAATCTAAAGTCAACAAAACGAATCTTTACCAGTTTATTTTTTGAATAATCATTCATTCTTACGTACATTTGTGTACTTATATTTTGCGTTGAAAGTATGTTATTTAACAGTATCATCTTAACTTACCAAAGTAAGAGTCGAACCCTCTGCTTGTCGGGAGATATTCCTTTTTATAAAATCCCAGATGCCATTTCCCCACCGCGTGAGTTGCATACCCGGCTTCTTTGAGCTTTTCTGGTAGTATCGGGCTGTCTAGGGGTAATCCGTTAGGTTGGGGAGGAAAGATCACGCCATGCTGAAGGCCAGTATGTATCTTTAATAAACATATTAAGGCATTATCATACACTGCATAAAATGCATTATTTCTTTTTACTCATATGGGTCTATATATAGTTTTTTTCAAATTACATATACGTTAGATATGGCAATTTTCAATACGTTTAAAACAGATTATCCGGTCAAAACTATTTATACGGTTAAAAAATTAGCCATTTAACTCAAGGATAATACCATCTTTCAGTAAAATAGAACATAGTCATAGAAAAATCTGTGACGTAAGTACATCGTCCTCTTATTCATTATTATTATAAGCCAATAACCTCTCAAATAAGTTTCTACTAAACCACTTTGACAGCAACTTTAATTGAAGTGCTGTTCTCAGATTATTTATGACGAGTTCAAAGTCAGTTTTAATAAAGTTTTGTCTTCAAACATTTTGAAAACAAACTTGCACATGTTCTACTATAGTATACATTTATTGACCGATTTTTTTATGAGTACTAGTTGAAATTCCGCGCAAGCCGCAAGCGTGGGCGAAAATATATTTCTTTTTCACTGCTGACAAAATCATACCAAAAAGTATCTTAAGTTTTAATCGAGTTAATTATTGGATAAAAGAAGGAATAGTATGTGTCTACATTTTTTAAGAAAAAAAAAATATTTTGCTTTTCACTTCATATGTATAAGGCCTAAAAGGTACCTGCTTATACGTTAAAGACTACTATTAGGGGAAAAAATTATATATATAAAAAAAAACTAAGGCACTTGCAATATTTAAATAAATAACTGAAGTTTTCTTTAAGCATGTTTATTTCTTTATAAAATTATAATTTGAGTTCGTTGCCTGATGATTTAAGGGGTAATTAGATGTGTTTGTGAAACACTATGCGCCTGGCGGCAACAAAGTTCCGAGAAAGCTATTTTTAGCATTAAGGTCAAAGTCAAGGTCACAAGGTCATTGACCTTGGTGTCATTTGGAAGAACCTGATTAGTGGAGTTTGCATACCAAATATGAAGTCTCTATCTTTCATGGTTCAAAAGTTATGGCGAAGGTTAAAGTTTGAAGACAAATCTATTTTTAGCATATAGGTCACAGTCAAGGTCACAAGGTCATTGACCTTGGTGTCATTTGAAAGAGCTTAATTAGTGGAGTATGCATACCATATATGAAGTCTCTATCTTGCATGGTTCAAAAGTTATGGTGGAGGTTAAAGTTCGGGACAAACAAACAAACAGACAGACAGACAGGACAAAAACAATATACGCCCTGGATCTTTCGATCCATACACGCCCTGGATCTTTCGATCCGGGCGCATAAAAATGCATGTTTTCTATGTTAATTTATTAAATATACAGGCGCGGATCCAGGATTTGGAGTTAGGGGGGGCGCCAAAATAGGCAAGGGGTCTGGGGGCCGCCTTGAGGCCCCCAGTGGGTCCAGGGCAAAGCCCTGGTGGGGGCCCAGGGGGCGAAGCCCCCGGAAGCTCCTGGATTCTAGAGATTTTGAAGGGTTAAAATGAGGTCTACCAAAGCCCTGGTGGGGGGCCAGGGTGCGAAGCCCCCGGAAGCTCCTGGATTCTAGAGATTTTGAAGGGTTAAAATGAGGTCTACCAAAGCCCTGGTGTGGGGCCAGGGGGCGAAGCCCCCGGAAGCTCCTGGATTTTAGAGATTTTGAAGGGTGAAAATGAGGTCTACCAAGTAGACATATTTGATTTACGCTAACTTTGACAATTTTAGGGGGGGCGCGCGCCGGGTGCGCCCCCCCTTAAATCCGCCACTGATATATATTCTTAGCTCATATTGTTATCAATAGTTTTTCCACTATTGTCATGCCCCCGACTGGATTGTTTTTCTTTTTAACATCGGGTTCATAGCCAAATGACGTTCTAGACATTCAATCAAGATTGATTGTATGTTATTTTACGTCCCATGACAGAATTTTTCACTCATATATTGGACGTCATCCTTTTTATATCGACTTAGGTCAGTCTCGACATTTGAATAAATAATTCATTAGTGATGTTTTGAGAAAATGTTTAAACCTTGCTTGCTTTTTGTCAGTGTCGCCCGCGTGGAGCAGTGGTTAGAGCGTCTGCTCTAGAGTAGAGAAGAAAGGATTTGATCCTTAGGTCGCGATTAGAATCCCGGGACGTGGAGACCGGTCCTTAGGATGAAACCGTATAAACCGAGTTCCTGTATCGCAGTAGGTGCTGGCACGAAAATTCCTCCCTGCTCAATGACCTTGAGTGCCGAGTATAGGACAAAATTTGCAGCTTTCCACCGGCAAGTGGTGGCGTACATATGAGTGAAAGATTCTCAAGAGGGACGTTAAACAACATGCAATCAATTGAAATCTTTTTTTCAGTCTCAGTTAAAATGTATTTAACTTGGATCCGCACACCGGAACCACCACCCTACTGGCGTTATTGGGTTGTTAATATTTAGGCTGTTTGGCGAAAATGAAAGTAAAACTTTTAACATTGTTTAATTTAATTAAATTTACAATAATTACTAGTTTAAATATACTTAATGTATATCACTAAGGGAGAAAGTATGAACTTTGGTGCAAGCGTTTCGGGGTTTATTTGCAAAATTTAACAATCCATAGATCTATTTATAATATAGGACCCTCATATACCTGATAACGTCCAGACATTAGTTGACTTCTGGTAGGCGTACAGATTGGCTGCACGTAATAATTCTCCAGTTTGATCCCCTCCCCAGCAAGTTTATCCAAATTCGGAGTTTTAATCTCCGAGCCATGATACCCGATGTCGTTGTAACCAAAATCATCAGCTATCACAAGCAAAATATGCGGTTTTGTAGCTTGGCCTTCAATAAAGCACGCTAACACTGCTAGAAGTACGGCTGCACTGAGTAATGTTTTCATATTTATCCTATTTATACCTGTGTTGATGCTTGTCCAATCGATATCTGAAGAAAGGTGTTAAGAAGAACACCATTTTATAGGATGTTATTGTTGGTTTGCAATGTATCACATGACTGTCATATGATGTTTCTTGATTAACACATGAAGTACTTGTAAGGTTTTAAATTTTTTGCCCCTTTGTGGTTGTGGGCATAACAAAACTTGAAGTCATTTCGTACGTGTTGATAAAAAAAACCTGAATTTTAGAAAGAAAAAAAGTAAGAAATTGTCACTCTTTTTAATGCTGTGTTGTAACTTTCATTCGTGTGTAAAAAGTACATAGAAATAACATGCAAGCCTAAATGATTTATTTCTTACTAAATAAAAAATATAAATTAAAAAAAAAAAAAAAAAAAAAGCTTCTTCCAATATCTCAGAAATACATGAAACCAACTTGACTGAAGGACGAGTGTAATTGAGTTTTTTTTTCTTTCTTTACAATTAGATTTATAAATTTGCAAAATTTTTGTTATGCATTTACAGTTGGTATGAAATACTTTCGAATTTCTTGTTGTTCATCCAAGAAATTAAAGGTAGTGAAAAGAAAGAAATCAACTGTGAGACATGCAAAAAGTGGAATAGCATCCACTTGAAAGTCTTCAGAAAACAAAATTTTGGGTTGTTTTAATTGCAGAATAATTTTGTTATATCAAATATAAGTCAAATTCTGACCAACGTTTTTATACACTTATTGTTAGGCCATTTTTACACACTCAATTATCGATGTTTTTTTTTGTTAATTTTCGATCACAAAGAACACACAGCGAGAAGGAGATGCTTACCCTTCCATAGCACCTGATCCCACCTCTGATGACTTTATTTGCAAATATAACCTATCATTGGGTAGTATTTTGGTTTTATGTTAAGCTTTAGCTTTTATACTAGATTTTTTCATGCAATGTATCCTTGAACATTAGCTTGTGCTCATGGCGGGTGTGATCAGTCAACAGGTGAATTTTTCTCCAGGTACCTGATCCCACCTCTGGAATTACTAGGGGGTCCGCGTTTAAGCCTTCTTCACGCACTTGTTATTTATAGAATTTGTTTTAGATCGATGACTACTCGTTATCTTCACTTTTACAATGACTAAGACATGTTCTGACCTTCGTTTGAAGCTTGGAGCTTAAATTTTTACTGTTTAAATTGAACAATCGTAAAATTATTTTTAGGTTCTGTGAAATTTTACTCTTTAACTTTTGACCATCTACATATACCAAAAGCATTATTTTTCATTCCAAGTTTGCTACTCGAGTCCATATAATTATTATTCTTTTACGTTTTTTGTTTCACAGGGAACTCCATTCTCGATTGATCTACTCCATCCAATGGTTGTATTCCTTTTGGATTACCATCAACCATCGACATGTGCAAGTGTGGGCAACCAGTTTGAAACGTGGATTAGGTCTCGTGAAACTACTCCTTTCCTCTTCAACATATGACCATGAACAAATCCTACTCCACGCATTCCTTCCTCCCAGGAGTCCTTCCATCCTCTTACTGAGGAAAGTTGTTTCCTCCAGCATGGGTATGTCCCCCGTTACCTGGAGGAATTGTATAGTTTGTTGTTTGTTTATATGTTTTGATTTTTATTATTTAGTTGATTATTGAAACAGCAGCTTCCATATATAGTATATAGTTAAGGAATGGCTGTTTAATTTTTTGGTTTCATGACTTGATCAATCGATTGGCTTGTGTGATAAAATTATCACGCAAGCCAATCGATTGATCGTCATCATGGAATATAAAAAAAGTCTGACAGTTATTCCTTATATTTATATTTTATACATGCTCTTGATTCCGCAAACCCACTTGCTCTAAACCCCGCTTCTGTCTCTACATTTGTCCCGCCCCGCACGTGATTTGTTTTAAGCCACGCCTATTGACGAACCAATACATTTATGTAGAAATAAAGTACATGTACATTCACTTAGTATTTGTAATTTTATCTCGGACAAAGACATTGGAAATGTAAAAAAAAAATATATCAAGGGGAAGTCCGTATGGTACTGAAGACATGGTAACCCTCGAGCTGAAAACCTTACGCTTAAATTTTATAGTTTACAGGAAAATCTCTACAGAAGTTGCTGATTGTTTATTCAAAGAATATGTTCTATAAAAAAAAAAATTGCTCCCTAATGAGTACGAGTAAAAAGTTATATATTTAATTTTTTTAAATGGCTGCATGAAAAAAAATGTTCTTAATCATATTTTCTTAAAATATGAAACATACTTACTAGGCATATATTAAAAAATGACAAGTCGTTAACCTAACTGCATAGAATTACTTTTAAAAATTAAAGATCAACTTACGTTTAAAAAGATATTTCTAATTCTTTTTGAGATTATTTTTTGCAAATAGAGTGATTTTTTCTAAATAAATATTCTTTACCTAAAAAGTAAGAAATATATTTTTGAGATTCATTTAACCATTACATGATCTACCAACAACTGTCTAGATATGTTTATATATATATTATTAAGTCAAATGCTGACTGACGTTTTTTATACTTATTGTTAGGCCATTACACATACTCTGAATTGTCGACGAATTTTTCAGTCATTTCTCGATCATGGAAAGGATCACACGGCGGGGGCTCAGGGGGTGCTTACTGTTATATGCATGGGGGTTGGAATTAAGAATATTGCATATTAATCACAGGCTGATGGTGGAGTGTTTTTTGGTGATGTAAAGTAGCATCCAGTTGTAAATTATTAGAAATATTTAAGGAATAACTGTCTTATTTTTCGAATTCATGAAGTGATCAATGGATTGGCTTGTGTGATAATTTGCATAAACGCCGAAGGCGTTTATGCATAAAATTATCACACAAGCCAATCCATTGATCATCTTCATGAATTTGAAAAATCTGACAGTTATTCCTTATATTTACATGCTTTGATTCCGCCAATCCACGGGCTCCAAGCCTGCTTCTCTCTAGGTGTTGTCCCGCCCTGCACGTGGTTTTTTTTTTTGGAACCGCGCCAAGACATTCATGAGGAAATCAATTACATTTACAATTGGTAATTTTATCTCGGACAAAGACATTGGAAATGTAAATATTTTATTGTTCATGTTATTTCATTATCTTATTGTTTACTTGAATTATTGATGCAATATATACACATTGCACTTCAACATTATGTAAACAATGCTGTTTTTGTATTACTAGACGATCTAGCGAAACATTGTTGAACAGACAGTAAGGGAGAGTGATAGTAAGATGTTATATGTCAGTTTTTCATCATTATCTACCATATTACGACCGTAATTTACTTACTTATTTCAGCATTATCACATGTGTTGTAAATTGGGCGCCTGCCATCTTTCTTACGAAGAAAATAGTCATGTGACATAAACATTATCGAAATAACACTGTCCGTGTCATCAAATATTTATAATTGATACTTAAATGTTATTTTATTGCAGTACTAGTATTGTCATTTTATTATGTTTTATTTGACGAAATGTTTTGGAACTTGAATGTGTAGCGTAAGACTTATGTGTATGCATTATTGTTCGGTATTACTATGCCATGGATTGTGTGTGTCCGTTTTATTACAGATTGTTTGTTGAACTTATTTTATTGTGTATATCGAATAGAATTTATAGCTCCTACTTTACATGTAGAAAGGAATTTTTGAGCGATGTTATTTTCTTTGTATTACACAATATGTATGTAAAGTTGCTCCAGAAAGGACAATTATTCATTGGTTGTTGTGATCACGTGACCATTATAGAAGGTTATATATAAGAGCAGCGAACGTCAGTTTCAGCACAACGATCAAATCTTATTACGTCATCAACATCACTGACTGTAAATTACTAGCGACTTAGGTATGAGAAAATAATGTAAACTAATACAAATTAAGTAGCGTATAATTTCTCCACCGCAATGCACTATATTTTATTAGGCCAGAGATGTTAAGCTAGGACTTAGACTCATATGGATGTACTCACGCCTGCTAATCGATCACTTGCACAACAAGCAGTTGTGTATGACAATCAAAAGAGATCGATTTCCGGTTGTGCAGTTGATGCGAATAATTCCAGTACACAGGTAGTAAATGGACTCGATTCAGGCAATAATTGATATTTTTTATTAAAATATAAGAATGTGATTCCATGAGCAATTTATTTTTCTTTAATTTTACACTCTCATAAAATGCAGTGATTGTCGATTAGCGACTATATTTGTTTTGAGGCAAGGGCTGGTAGAGCGAAAACGCTGATTGAAAACAGTATTCGCCGACTAAAATTCGTTTTAATCTCAACCAACCTTGAAAATTCAATGTCCACTATGAGTATGCTACAAGTGCATCCTATCCACCAAAACTGGGACTTTGATATGTGTTTAATTTGACAAATATTCGAAGAAAATAATAATGCTTGTGCATGCGATCATTCAGTTGTGAAAGAGATCTCGGGTTATGCATGAGATGAAGGACAAAAAGTTTCAAACTTTACGAATAAAATTAAACATTATTATACAAATATGGACTCAATGTAGGTCAATATGCATTTATAATGACCCAGGATGACAGATATTGACCGAAGATACATGTAGTATATCGACCGAGGGCGCTAGCCCGAGGTCGATATACTTCATTTATCTTCGGTCAATATCTGTCATCTTGGGTCATTATAAATGCATATTGACCGTGCATTGAGTCCATATTTATTATATTATATAAATAATAATTTCCCAAATTTATTAGTGCAATGAATATCATCCTATTATTTACAGAGATAGTATTATCCATAAATAAGATGAATGTAAATGTTTCAGAATTCAATGAATATTAATCAGAGGAAATTGTTTCGGCAATAAACTTCCCATATCATAATAATGACGCAAGATATCTATCTCCGAATAACACAGAGTACCCCCTTCCCCAGATTGAGAATCGCTCTCGTTTACACTTGCAGACGAAATGCACTGACAAAATATAAATACCTATGTCTTCTAAGAATAGATACAATCTTACATGGCATGCTTGTCTATATTTTCTTTA